GGACTGCTGCTGCTGTCGTTGTCCGTCATCTGTACGAAAAACGTAAATAATAAAATTTGTTTGTTAAAGTTTACCGTGTAATAAAAAAATATAACAATGATCGAATACCTACTTTTTGCCGAGGCAGGTTCAACGACAGGCTCTGTGGATTCACACTGTAACGTAAGAAATACATTGTTAGAAAAAACAAGTTGGACGCGACAAACGACCGTGGATTCGCTCGTAGGGCTCGTCAAGACGAGTAAAACGATATGCGACACGATGGGGTTTGGACGAACCGTTGGAAAGTTACCTGTATATTTCGCGAGCTTCACTTTTGCCGAGGTCGTGAGACAGCAAGCAAACAAGCACGCGCGTAAACGCTGTGCGGTAGAGTGCGTTGACCAATCACTTAAGACATTACTTAAAGAGCCTTCTACAATGGGGAGTCGTAGGCCGTAGCAGTAGTCGTAAAAAATATTTCCATTTCCTACCGCATACTACCTACGGTTTACAGCAGGTATTGTGAGCCAATCAGTATTGAGCTGAGTGAGTCGATGAATTTTGAAACGCAACCCGGGTGTCCGTTTTATTATTTAGATAAATTTTCTTTTTTAATTGAATAAAATATTCAAAAATAGCACGTCTGATGAAGAAATGTTCGTTGACGTAAATGACGAAGAGGATGACGAACACGATACTTGGATAAAGGAAGAATTGATCGCTTTTGTCAAAGCTAATCCCAACCTGTACGCGCGAAAAACTGGAAGGGATATGCTGGCAAAAATTTTTGCAAAGACGATTTGGTGGAACATTGGATGTGTAGCTCGTCGAAGCAAATGTCAGGTGAGTTGCATATATAAATCACTTTGCATGTTCGCGTGTGATGATGAGGTTATGTGATTTATAATTTCATGTTGTTTAAGATTCCTTAAACGTTTAACGATAGCGAAGTCGAAAATATTAGAATTTCAGCACGGCAATTGCGAGCAACGAGACTTGAGCATTATCGCCGTGACTTTCGACGGGACGTTTAAATGAGTAAACAGTGGAGACAAGGCATTCTTTGTTCGCTTTGTTTCCTGTGTTTATAATTGTTGATCGCGCATCTCTCGGGGACTTCTCTCGGTGAAGCGTGTATCGAAAAGTCTCGAATTTGCGAGAAGCCCCCGAGAGCTTAAAGAGACACGCGCTCTTGGCAACGAGGTCAGTCGCTCTCTGCTTCCCGAGTTGCCGCTGTCAATATCGAGTTGCTTGCTCCTGTTCTTTCGCGTACGCTTAGTAGATAGAGTTGCTCGCTCGTTCGCTCGCTTAATTCGCGCTGCCTGCATCGGCGCTTGCTTGCACTTTCTCGACGCGATATCTTCCATCGTTATAATTGCGATACAGTTTGTAAATAGTGTATATAAAAAATTAAACTGTGTTTGTCCGTCAATTCTGCTCTTTGCCTGTCTCTTCCTACGCGGTTCGTGTCCTCGCTCGCGCGCTCGGTCCGCTTCCGAACATTTTGGTAGGTCTCAATAAATTTTTAGTTTTCGACATTGCGACAAGCAATTTCCGTCTTCGGCAATCTATTTTTATTTTTTTGTTACGTGTTCGAACTCCGCCCAACAAACGCGAGCCCTGCATGCTAAAAAGCAGGAGAACAAACTCGGCCGCTGTTTGATGTGCCAAAAGGAAAGACTGCCGCGGAGCGAAAGCAGCATATTGAGTCGAGTAATTTATGCTTCAATTGCCTCGGGAAGCATAAACTGAGCGAATGCGCGTCGACGTGGAACTGCTCTGTATGCGATGCCCGACATCATACGAGCCTCCACGACGCGTACTCAGGCGGGGAGGTGGCTAAGACTTCGCATCTCGCGCAGAAAACCCTCGGGAAGCCGGTAGCGGTACTTCTCGCTACCGTTCGTATCCGCGTGCGCGATCGTTTCGGGATAGAGCACACCGCGCGAGCGCTCGTCAATCAAGGCTCCGAATCATCTCTTGTCTCGGAATCGCTGGTACAGCGATTGAAACTGTCCCGCGCGCCTACCTCGGTCGCGGTGTTCGGCGTCGGCGGGAAGCGTACGGGTCGCGCTCGAGGCCTCGTGGCCTTGGATATCTCGCCTCGAGACGGCGGGCCAGCCATTTCGGTGTCGGCCTTAATTTTACCTCGGCTCACTCTCTACGGCGCGCGGCGGGGTCTCTGCGGATCGTGCGACGCGGCCGCATCTCCGCGGGCTAGAGCTTGCCGACCCCGACTTTGCGGCCTCGGACCCGGTGAAAATTCTGCTTGGAGCTGATGTATTCGCCGCGATTCTCTAGCCGGGCTTGCTAAAGGGCGAACCGTTCGAGCCGGTCGCACAAAGAACGACGCTGGGATGGATTATTTCGGGCGCAGCAGGAGGAGCTACCGGGCGGCGTACTCGCGCTTACGCCAGAAGACCGTGAGTGCGAGAACTTCTTCTCCCTCACACATTCCCGGACCGCGGACGGTCGTTACATGGTGAGACTCCCGGTCGTGGACCCGTTGCCCGATCTCAAGGGAACGCGCAGCTCGGCCTTACGAGCACTGGCGCACATGAAGAGACGATTCGCCCGAGATGACAAATTGAAGCAGCTGTACGTCGAGTTCATGCGGCAGTACGAGGAGCTTGGACATATGACGCCGGTGGCTCCGGAGGACAAAACTAAGAGACGTGTGAGCTACCTTCCACACCACGGCGTGATGCGAGAGGCGAGCACCTCGACGAAGCTGCGCATCGTATTCAACGGCTCGACGTCATTACCCTCTGGTGACTCGCTCAATAAGTGTCTGCGGGTGGGACCAAACCTCCTGCCGAATCTAGCCGATGTACTGCTGTGGTGGCGTCGCTGGCGCTACGTCCTGGCTGCGGATATGGAAAAGATGTACCGCCAGATCCTAGTCCATCCCGATGATCGCGATCTGCAGCGAATTTTCTGGCGGTATAAGATTGAAGACGAGATGCAGGAGTATCTTCTCAACACGGTCACTTACGGGCTGACGTGTGCACCGTTCCTGGCGATGCGCTCCGTTCAACAACTTGCCGAGGACGAAAAAAAACTCTTCCCCCTGGCCGCAATCGCCCTACTGATTGACAGGTACATGGACGATGTACTCTCGGGCGCGGATACACTGGAAAAGGCTCTGGCTCTCCGGCATCAACTCTCGGAGTTCTGCATGGCGGGCGGCTTTCCGCTCCGCAAATGGTCGGCCAACGAGGAGTCCTTGCTGACGGACGTTCCAGCGGAGCACAGGATGCAGCGCGAGCTCTGCTCTTGGCGACCGCAAGAGTCGCATGCCATTCTCGGCCTTCAATGGCATCCCTGCCTCGACAGCTTCTCCTTTGCTACGAAGACGAGTTTAGTGACGTTTTTCACGAAGAGGTCGGTGCTGTCCCTCACCGCCCGGCTTTTCGATCCGCTCGGTTGGTTGGCGCCGGTGGTGGTGAGTGCGAAGATCTTGTTCCAGGCTACCTGGCTAAGAGGACTGGACTGGGATGACCCCTTGAGCGAGACTGACGCTCTGCAGTGGAAGACCTACCAGGCGGAGCTCCCGTTGCTGGAGCAAATTCGAGTCCCTCGGAGAATATATCCAGGCGCCAGAGGACTCGGCGTCGAACTTCATGGCTTTGCCGATGCCTCCGAGAAAGCCTATGCTGCCGTGGTTTACTTGCGAGCACAGGCGCAGGACGGATCATGGCTGGTCACCTTGCTCGCGGCAAAGACCAAGGTCGCCCCTCTCAAAATCGTGGCTCTGCCTCGACTTGAGCTCGATGCTGCTGCTGCTGCTGCTGCTGCTGCTGCTGCTGCTGCTGCTGCTGACTTCCCGGAACCTCGCATTACCGCACACCGGAAAACAACGATGGACAACGACGGATCGACGCCGATGGACAAGGAAAGTATTGATTTCGCCACATGATTGTAATAAAACTTCTCTGTTTCAGATTTACGCCTCGGGGGAATATGGATCAAGTGTGAAAGAAAAAAGGGAGAAAGAGGGGTTGCAGGTTACAATATAAAATAGTACGACAAAGAACGCGTACGTTTTTCCAACGACAGGCTTCCTCGGTAGATGGGTGGTGTTTACTGCCGCATTTTTAAATAAAATAAACGATTACGCACGCACTATATTTTGTACCAAGTAACAAGTTAGTACAAAATAA